CACAAGACAAGCCCCGTGATAAAGAATTATCCGTTCCAAAATATCAGCACCACTAAGCTTGGAAAACACTGTACTAGGGTGATGGCAATAGAGTTGGAAAAAAAAAGAGGGACATGTTCCAGATATTCAGGATATATATCAGAGGTAGAGTTAACAGAATCGCTTGAGGGAGAACATGGAAAGAGAACGATAACTCTTGGCTTCGTGGCTTGAGCAGCTGGCTGGATAGTGGACCCGTTCTAAGTGAGAAGAACTGTGGGACACATAGGGTTCTGGGTTTGGGGTAATCAACAATTTTGTTTTAGCTAATTTAGGTCTGAGATGTTTATCACAAATCCAAGTAGAGATGTCAAATAAGTAGTTAGACAGGTTTTGGAGCTGAGGAAAGACCAGGGCTAATGACACAAACTTGAGAATCATTCGGATATTTCTCATTTAATCCTCACGAAAATCTTATGATGTAGGTGTCATACTCATCCAACAGTTGAAGAAACAGAAGCTACAGGAAAAGTTAAGTCATAGAATTAGTGATTTCAAGGTTAACCTTTGAAGCTAAATTTGTCTAATTCCAAAGCCTTTGCTTTTAACCACCAATTAAAAAAAAAAAAAAAAAAACTGAAGTTGACTACACTAGCCAAAAGCACCAGACTCCTAAGTTGTCTAGAACAGAACCCTTGACTTTTGAGTGGTCTAGATCCTACCTATATTGTAGTTATTTTAAAGTGCCACTGCAATTTTTTAAGCTTTCTTGAGATTGAATTCCTGGCTTCATGCTTGCAATGAATATATCTTAATTAAATCCCTACTGAAGATTTGAATTTACTTGCCATCTGGATTGCAAGAGCAGCTCAGAGACTTTCAATTTAATTGAGGTGCAAGCCCTTTTGTTTGGCCCTGTGCTGCTTGGCAGCCTGGGTCCTGTTGCTGCTGTCTGGGGCAAGCTTTCCTTCAGCCTGCAGTCAGCAAAATGAGACATCAGGAATAGTGCTGATGCCTGGATGACCGCAACCCAAAACCACTTAATTAATATACAAGTTTAATGCATTTGGTAATTAAAATTTAATTCTTTTAAGATAGACAATAGAAACAACTCCTTTTGCAAGCGTTTAATCCATTGTGCTACAACAAATGAAGTTGCAAAGGGAATTTAAATGGGGTTGTTCTTCTTTTAAGCATTAATCACACTGGGGATCAGTAAAACGATAACATGTGTTTAGCTGTGGTTGGTTGATCACCATTCTTGCTAAGTTTTGAGACTTCTCTTTATAGTGAAAGCCTTTTTTTTTTTTAATCACAGAAAACCTTTACATGAGAGATTCTCCTCCAAAAATGGAGATTATCATCGAAATGTAAACATTACATCAAGAAACTTAACTAGCACCCAAACAAGCAAAAATGTGAAAATTTAAGTTAGCAAATGTACTACAATGCAAACCACATTTTCATCCTCCTGACACTCTTAGGTTTAAGTAATTTACCAAAGATTTCATAATATACCATCTAAAAAGATAATAACCCAGTACCCATTTAGAAACAAAGTATAGAGCATAGTAGAATTTTGTTCCTAGCTATATCTTCCCCAAAACAAACAAAAAGAGCTTCCCTGTCAAATTTGAGAACTGTCTTTCATATTTACTCTCTAGGAAAAAAAAAAGGCATTGAAAAAATCCTGCAGTATAAGAAGAACAAACAAATGCTTTAATATGGTCAATCCAATATTTCCAAATGTTTTTAGTCATGTAACACCCATTAAGATGCTGCAAAACTAATATTCTAAGAAGCAAGTTTAGAGAAATACTGGATTCCTCCACCCAAACTTTGACACTTGTTCATTTAGCAATGCTATTAAAGGGTAAACAAATTGCTTTCCTGCCTTATCATAATTCAATAAATATTCAGTTACATATATGTACCAAAATCCACGTACAAAAATTTTTATAGTAGCACTATATGTAACAGCACCAAACTGTAAACACTCTAGTACCCTTTTCAGTAGAATGACTATATATAGATGATATAGATATAGGTATAGATAGATACAAATGTAGATATAGATATATAGGTATATATGGCATAAACATTCAATGGAACACAGTATAGCAATGAAAATGAATGAATGGAACTGAGCACGTTGGTGTGCACCTGCCATTCTGGCTGCTCAGGAGGCTGAGGCAGAAGGGTCTCTTGAGCCCAAGAGTTCGAGTCCAGCCTAAGCAACATAGTGAGACTCTATCTTGAAAGGAAAAACAAAAAGAAATAGGTGGATGACTAATAACACGATATGGACAAGTTGCATGAATGTAATATCAAATCAAAGAATATGACATAGAAGAATATATAGTATGTAATTCTATTTAATTGAAGTTCAAAAATAGTTATTATGGGTTGAATTTCTTCCTCTACTTCATATTCAGATGTTGAAGATCTCACTTCCAGCACCTCAAAATGTGACCTTTGTTGGAAATAGGGTCATTGCAGATATAATTAAGTAATATGAAGTCATACTGGAATAGTGTGTGACCCTAATCCAACATGACCACTGTCCTTATTAAACGGGTAAATTTGGACACAGATACAGACACACACACACACACACACACACACACACACACACAGTGAGAGAGAGAGAGAGAAAACACCATGTGAATATGAAGGCACAGATCAGGTTGGTACTTCTACAAGCCAACAAATACCAAAATGGTCAGCAAACCACCAAGAATTAGAGAAGAGGAATGAAACAAATTCTTCCTCATAGCCCTCAGAAGGAACTATCTCTGCTAACACCTTGATGTTGGGCTTTTAGCCTCCATAACCATGAGACAATAAATTTCTTGTTTATGCCACCCATTTTGTGGTACTTTGTTATGACAGCCTTAGCAAACTAATACAACAGGCAAAATCATTTCATGGCATTAGAAGTCAAGATAGTCACTATCTTTGCGTACGTAGGGGAGGAGAAAGAGGGGCTAGTGACTTGTAGAGAGCAGAAATTATGGGTGGAGGGTTGTAGTGTGCTTCTAGGGAACTGACAGTATCTTGTGAGTGGTAATAACATGTGTATGTCATTTTGTGAAAGCTCAACCAGCTGTACACTTAGGAGTAATATACTTTTCAATTTGTAGGTTACACTTGAATACATACATTTATTTAAAAAGAAATATTTACCAGTGAACAAACACCGCCCTACCCTTAGGGGCTTTCAGCCCAGAGAGAGATGCAGACAAGGCAAGAGTGAAATAAATTCCGATGAAAGTTTCAGTACAAATGCAGTAGAAATACTCGCAGCCTGTGGTGGGGTGTGAGGAGGATTCGAAGAATAAAATTCCCTGAAAAATTGAATGACAAAAATCTCAGACTTGAAGACTGAGTACAAACAGAGAAGAGAACAGTATGTTCTATCAGAGCAAACAGCATGCACAAGACTAAGGAAAAAAATACAAAGCAAAAAGTAAGAGAAAGCATGACCCATTTGAGGAACAAAAAGTTGTTCCATTTGGCTGACTCTCAGAGTGGAAGGTGTGAAGTGTGAAAAGAGAATGTGGGAGAAATGGACAACAGATAGAAAATGGAGAGCTTTGAAAGAAAGATGATGGAAAGCATTGTAGGCATGACTATAACTTAATTGGAAACCAAATATTATATCTTAAGGTGTTTATGAAATAACATGTATAAATGTATGAAAATATGTCTTTCCCTTCACAAGATGGAATTAACCTCTACAAATATCAGGAAAAAGACTCTTTGTTCAAGCTAATCATAGTGTTCACGTTTTACAAAAAAAAACAGTACCAAAGATGGGGTATGTGTTTTATGCCTTTACATCTATAAGGAACATAAACAAATTTATCAAGAAAACCCCCACAAACTACCCCATTAAAAAGTGGACGAAGGACATGAACAGATACTTTTCAAAAGAAAACATACATGCAGCCAACAAGCATATGAAAAAAAGCTCAGCATCACTGTTCATTAGTGAAATGCAAATCAAAACCACAATGAGATACCATCTCACACCAATCAGAATGGCTATTATTAAAAAGTCAAAAAATAATAGATGCTGGCGAGGTTGTGGAGAAAAAGGAACACTTATACACTGTTGGTGGGAGTGTAAATTAGTTCAGCCATTGTGGAAGACAGTTTGGCGATTCTTCAAAGACCTAAAGACAGAAATACCATCTGACCCAGTAATCCCATTACTGAGTACCTACCCATATGAATATAAATCATTCTGTTACAAAGACACATGCATATGTATGTTCATTGCAGCACTATCCACAATAGGAAAGACATGGAATCAACCTAAATGTCCATCAATGATAGACTGGATAAAGAAAATGTGGTATATACACACAATGGAATATTATGAATCCATAAAAACAGAACGAGATTATGTCCTTGCAGGGACATGGCTGGAGCTGGAAGCCATTATCCTTAGCAAACTAACACAGGAACAGAAAACCAAGCACTGAATGTTCTTACTTGTAAGTGGATGCTAAATGCTGAGAACACTTGGACACATAGAGGGTTGTACACTGGGGACTTTTGGAAGGTGGAGGGTGGCAGGAGGAGGAGGATAAGGAAAAATAACGAACGGGTACTAGGTTTAATACCTGGGTGATGAAATAATCTGTACAACAAACCCCCATGACACAAGTTTACCTATATAACAAACCTGCACTTGTACCCCTGAACTTAAAAGTTAAGAAAAGAAGAGAAAAAAAAGGAATAATACTCTTTTACCCCCAAAATAATTTAGGGATCAGTTCTAAGAGCACTGGCGTTTAAATTCTCCTTCCTTTGAGACCTTGTCTCTTAACTTACCAGTTATGTGACCCTGTGTAGATCACTTTATCTCTCCAGACATTAATTTCCCATCTGTGGTTTAAAGAAAATGATAGCACCTTTCTTCTAAGATTGTTGAAAGGATTAAATGCGATATGCAATAAACACTTGTATGAGTTTACTGTTGCTACTGTAACAGATTATCACAAATTTAATAGTTTAAAAGAACGCCAACATTTTTTATCTTACAGCTATCTAGATCTAAATTCTGAAGAGGATCTTTTCAGGTTAAAAGTAAAGTGTTAGCAAAAATGTGTTCCTTTCTGAAGACTCTTAGAATCCATTTCCTTGCCTTTTCTATGTTCTAGAGGCTGCCCATATTCCTTGGCTCATGGTCCTCTTCCTCTGTCTTCAAAGCCAACAGCACCAGCAGGTCGAGTCCTTCTCATGTTGCCATCTATCTGATTATCTGGCCACAGCTGGGAAAACTGCTCCAATTTTAAGGATTCACATGGTTAGACTGGACCCACTTATAGATCATTTGTATCCCAAGGTCCTTAAACCCAATAACATCTGCAAAGCCCCTTGGATCATTTAAAGTAGTATTCACAGGTTCTGAGGATTAGGGCATGGACCAGGTTGGGGGATGATTCTGTTTCCCAAAATACTAAACGCAATTCTCTAATGTAGAAAGCTCTCGAAAATCATCAGCTGGTTTTTAAATTCTTTCCTTTTTTGACAATTAAGTCAGGAGTTGGTATAAAAAATTCACTCCAATAATATTTGAAGTTCTCCTATAAAACTAAGGGTTTCAATATTTAACACTGCATCTTTAGAAAAAAAAAATCATCTCAGAACAGCAGAAAACTTTTCAATTAATAGTGGTGGAGGGGAACAAAGTAGTTCCCGTATTAAATCATCACTATTTGCAACTTTATATACCAGTTAAATCTCTGCCAAACATTTGTGTTTAAACATCCTCTGACAGTTTTCTTGCCCTATGCAGGGTTTGTCAACCTTGATGATATTGACACTTTGTGCTGGATAATTCTTTGTTGGCGGGAGGCCTTTCTTGTCCTGTGCATTGCACTGTGTGTGGCAGCCTCCCTGGCCTCTACCCGCAAGCTGGTGACAAAAATGTCTCCAGATAGGGCCAAATGTCCCTGGGGGTAAAGAGCGTCTGCATTTAAGAACCACTACTCCAAAAATGTATTAACTGTCTGGCTAATGGAGTCACATTTAAGGAATTCCACTGAAAACAAAAACCAGAAAATGCTGTCAGATGTTGGTAAAAACCGAATCCACTTGCAATATGTGCCACATTTTTATTTGCCTACATGCACAGTACACTAAGAAAATTGATGAGTAAATACACATTCTGATGCATGCCTTTCTCTTTCTTTCTTTCTTTCTTTCCTTCCGTCCGTCCGTCCGTCCTTCCTTCCTTCCTTCCTTCCTTCTTTCTTTCTTTCTTTCTTTCTTTTTTTTAAGGCGCTGTTTCACTCTTTTTGCCCAGGCTGGAGTGCAATGGCAACATCTTGGCTCAGCACAACCTCTGCCTCCCAGGTTCAAGCGATTCTCCTGCCTCAGCCTCCCGAGTAGCTGGCATTACAGGCACCTGCCACCACGCCCAGCTAATTTTTGTATTTTTAGTAGAGACAGGGTCTCGCCATGTTGGCCAGGCTGGTCTTGAACTCCTGACCTTGGGTGATCCACCCGCTTCGGCCTCCCTAAGTGCTCGGATTATAGGCGTGAGCCACCACGCCCAGTCGCGTGCTTTTCTTAAAATGTCATTTTTCTCAGCAATAATATTGCCTAAAAATATAAGAAAAATGAATAGAAAATGTAAATGGAAGATGCAGGTGCTAATTAACAAGAAGGTCGGTCTGCTCATTAAGTCTTTTGAATAATCTATGCTTGTGTCTTACGCCTCGCAAAGCAACATCAATAATGACTTTTTATGTGAAGCACGTTCTGTTGCCACTTTTAAAGTTTCAGGCAGATGCTAAAAGGGGCCATCTTCCTAAAACTGAAGTTTGACTAAAGAAAGGATGAATGATTTAATAGTACTCAAGATTGAAAGAGAAAAAATGATCTGCACAAAACCTATTGTACAGCAGGCTCTGAATATTTTTCTCGTTCATGAAATGTAGTAATTGTCTTCCATTTTCACTACAACTACTCAAAACGGCTTGCTTCTAGTGTCCTGGAAGTTCCACTAATGACAATCACTTGCATTTAAAACAACAACAACAACAACAAAAAACACCTTTTGGAATCTTGTAAGATTGAAATGAATCCTCAAAGCACACTATAAAACCATCTTAATATTTATTGCCCAATTTATTATTGCCTTTCCTTTCCTCTCTTTTTTTTTAACTTCTTTTCTGGAATAGATTTATTTTCAGTTTTCTAATCTATTTTGGCAATATTGTCTTTAAAACGGTAAATCCAGAAAGTTAGAATTAATAATAATTATATTAATCCTATGCCTAGATTATATTATATAGATTATGACCATTTGGTATATATCAAATTGAACAGAGTTATATAATCTGTCCCAAAATTTAGCAAAATAGTGTTACTATAAACCAAGCCTTCAGTACTTAGGTCTAGCCAATATAATACACAGCTATAAAAGACTTGTGTAAACATTGGATGTTATCCAGTAATTACTAGAGATGATGAGATAGTTTGGAATATGGCATTTTTTACTCACATGTTACGACCCAAATGAGAACATCTGCCTAAAGGCATTATGGTTAAGCCATCTGCTGTTTGGCTGACACAACCTGCCTTAATGAAGAGAAATAAAGTCTTCACGAAGAATATGTACAAATGGAATATATCTATAATGTTATGAGTGAACTAAATAACAACAGTGTCATTGCACTTTTCAATTTAACATTTGTTCTTCTCATCACTGTTATCAGAATATGTAATCTCATTTCTTTTTTGACCACAAATAAAAATGTTTTTCTGTATAGTTACCAAATGCATAATGGCAGGTAAGCAATATTGACTGTAGCTAGGAAGATATTCTCAAATGGATAATAAATAAATACACCATAAACATCATGACAGATTGTGTTTTCAAAGATACTCACAACGTATCTTCCATCTCACACATCCTTGCTTCTACGATGTAAACTTGGCACTCCTCCAACTGACAGGCGTATATGTACACAGTCCCTGCACATGTAAGCAGGTTTGTGACTCGCCTGTAATCAACAGAAGGGGTAGCAATGATGGGAGTGGTACCTTAGAAACATAGTTTCTAAGGTAACTTCTGCCTTCTTTGCTGCAACACTTAAACTTGGAACTTTGAACTTGAACGTAAGCTGCCATGCTATGAGGAACTTAAGCCACTCAGAGAGGCCAAGGATAGGCACACCTGCAGGCACTCCTAGACTTTGGGTCTTGCCAGCCAAGGATCAACATGAGAGTGAACAAGTATCAGATGACACTAGGGCCCAGACATCCCTCCTAGCTATTAAATCTAACTGAAGGCCCAGACATCATAGAGCAGAGAACGGCCAGGCCCACTGTGCCTTTCAGAAACTCCTGACCCACAGAAGCAAAGAGCACAATTAAAGCTCTTCTCATGCCACCAAGTTTGAGTTGGTTTGTTTAATGGCAATCATCATGGATGAAACAGGCTAACCATAAGCAAACATATTTTAATTCGATGTTCATATTAAATTTAACAGGAATAACAACAACAAATCCATGAGCAATATTGAGCTTCATTAATACTGTATTGACCCAGACAGTAGACTTGAAAATCACGTTCCTTCAAATTTTGCATTACCAGTTATATGAACGATCATTTTTATTTAATTATTTTTTAAACATTAATTTTTAAATTTTATTTTTAATTGACAAATAATAACTATATATATGTATATGTATATTTATATTTACAGTATACTTCACGACATTGGGCTGGGCAAAGATTCCTTGGATGTGACTCCAAAAGTCAACAGGCAACAAAAATAAAAATGAACAAGTGGGACTGAATCACACTGAAAAAATAAAATAAAATTTTTAAATCCTGGTAGGCCAATGCTAATTTTTAACTGTAGCTATGTTTTTTCTTTCCAAGATAAATTGATCGAACATACGCTGCCTTTAAAAGTATCTTTTTACCTGTGCAAAATTTTCTTCAGAAACATTTTCATCAAAAAATTATCCCAGGTAGGGTGAGTCACTGATTTTCCTTTCTATCCACATCCAAGGTCAAAAGAAGTATGTCAGGTCATACTTCAGCAGAGAATTTCCCATTGCTGTTGACTATCTCACACTACAGTAGTTAAACGGCAGGAGCACTTGGCTTCTGACCTGAGTATAAAAGTACTCCATGTCCATAAGGCCTTTAAATTGCTTGGTTCCAGGATTTCCTTTTAGCGAAATGATGACCCTGAGACTTTAAAGCTATTTACTGTAAATGGCCTTCATCTAGCATTGCTTAGCAATTTATACTAGACTGCAAAAGACTAGAATTACATCAGCAGCCTCCTCACTAGACTGAAGGACCTGCTGCCTAAAGGCTCCCTTTGAAAACAACATTCCATTCAGGATTATTGTTTCCATGGCTGCCTTTCTAATGCTGATAACCTCAGTGAGAGAAATCACTTCCTGACTAAAGTGTTATATAAATAGCATGATTTAGCTAAAAAATGGCCTTGTATTTCTACCACAAGGTTTCCCTAACAACCTCAAAATTCTTCCCTCTGTTTTGTCATATTTGAATTAACATTCTTCTTGGAAGATGTGTTGAGAGTGAATACTGATCTCTCTACTTGAAGTCACAAGCTTTCAGAATTACAGGGAAGAACCTCTTCTTTCCTAGCTCATATCTCACTGTAGGCCTGTTGCACCATCTATTTACTTCCTTCTCTCCAGAGGGTAGTTTGTAAGAAACTTCGGAGGGAACCAATGAATCCACAAGGTACATGAATTCTGGGTTCCTCCACGCCATTGAGTTTGCAAGGACAGGTTCTCTCAAGGGAGAACTGAGGGCTTGGCAACGCTGGGGACCGGGATTGGGTAAGGCTGACCTGTTAGCCTGTTTCCTTATATCAGATTTATCAGGAATATAAGTGACACTTCGCTCTCTTCAACCTGACTTTTACCCATCTCTCATTTGTTTCCCAATTATGATGGGAGACAAAGATATAAAAAATAGTCACCTCTAGTACTAGCAGGATGAATAAATATGTCTGTCTAACCCTATATTATAAGCTAATTTACAGTACAGATTTGCTAGAAGCCCCTCTCAATTCCCTAATTCCCTGGCATTAATTCAAGTTTGTCTTTTAGGACACAACCAAGCTATGCCCTACATGGTGATGACCTTGTGCCTGTCCACTATTATTATTCCATCTGCTTCTCTCAGCCTTCCGAGATACGATCTCTACACACCTGCATCATCTTACACAGACTTGACATTTTCTTCTACCAACTTTAAGCTGTTAGAGAGCAGTGAATCCATCATTCTCATTTTTGGTCACCCATATTTAATACATAACATTAAATACGCTATTCAGAACACACCATAAACTTATGTTCATTAATTTTAGGAAGATGTGGGAGGAAGAATTCTAAAGATGCTGTTCCCGGGGCCGGGCGTGGTGGCTCAAGCCTATAATCCCAGCACTTTGGGAGGCCGAGACGGGCGGATCACGAGGTCAGGAGATCGAGACCATCCTGGCTGACATGGTGAAACCCCGTCTCTACTTTAAAAATACAAAAAACTAGCCGGGCGAGGTGGCGGGCGCCTATAGTCCCAGCTACTCGGGAGGCTGAGGCAGGAGAATGGCGTGAACCCGGGAGGCGGAGCTTGCAGTGAGCTGAGATCCGGCCACTGCACTCCAGCCTGGGCGGCAGAGCGAGACTCTGTCTCAACAACAACAAAAAAATAAAATAAAATAGATGCTGTTCCCCCAAGATTTCCTTCCTTTAGTTATTCAATCAAACGTTAATCTGAGTATTTCTATGAGGGAAGTTCTGGAGTTTAGGACAGCAGATGGAATTAAGGTTATTAAACAGTTAACCTTTTTTTCAAAGAGAAAAATTTTTCCTCTATCCTCTGAATTCTGTATCTGGGGGCTTTTGAATTAAACTAAAATTAGATGGATTAACAGAAGAAAAGGCACACCATTTTATTAATATTTACATGAATGATAAATTGTGGAGAAGCAAGTAGGAAGCATATGGGGAAACTAAGGAAAGCTCAGGACTAAATCTGAACTAGAGGAAGATAAGATCTGTTCATGCAAACTAATCCTGATGTCAACTCCCATCTTTGATGATAAGAGTTCTTGTGTCCCTGGTACAAGTGTGAGGAGAGGGGACATCTTCCTAAAAAAAAAGATGTAGTCAAATAACAATGATATAAATAAGAAGTAAAACTTTGAGATGTATTGCTGAGTAAATAAACAATATTGCAAAATATGTATAGTACATAAGCCTGTTTACATACATATTTCCTATACCAAATAAAATTTTGTGCAATTAAACCTGTTTCCTCTCCAGGCTGGGCGCACAGCTAAATTACATTTTCTAGTATAAAGGGAAATTATATTCACTGTCCTGTGGTCTGAAACACATAAACATCTCACTTGCCGTCCCTCTGTCTCTTCCTCCTGCCTGGAGTTTGATGGCCAAGAGACTCCAGTAAGAGGTGTTAATGGCACTGCACTGAATGACTACACGAAGCAGTGTCACTGCACTGCCCCACCTCAACCCCATCCCACCACTGGCAATCCCCTCCTGAGGGAGAAACAAGATTTTATCATGCTAAGCCACTGATATTTTAGATGAAATCTGTTTCAGTAGTTATGGCATCCTAACATTATTCATAGAAAAGGGTAAATATATATGTATATACATAAAACATAGTCCTGCTTTTAGGCAGATAAGAGGGGGACAAAGAACTCTTTCTGTATCTGTTGATTTTCAGTTGCTTTCAGCTCAAAATAATCCTTATGCCAAAGTGGCATATTTTGGGGGTGGCATAGTCTAATGCCTTTGACCTTAAAATAGATAAACTATAATAGATTTACCCAAATGAACACGATATAATCATATAAGTCCTTAAAAGCGGGAGAAAAGGCAGAAGAGCTCTTAAAAGAGATACAGCAGGAGAGGGAGACAGAGAAGTTACAAGGCAAAAAGGGAGGTCAAAGATATCTGAAGCATGAGAATGACTCATTCTGTCATTCAGGTTTTGAAGACGGAGAAAAGCGGCCATGAGCCAGGAAATTTGAGAGCCTCTGGAATCTAAAAATAACCCCCCAGCCTATAGCCAACAAGGAGATGGGGCCCTCAGTCCTACAGTCACATGGAACGGAATCCTGCCAACATTCTAAAAGAGCTCTGAGGTGGACTTATCCCCAGAGCCTCCAGACAGGAAATCAGCTCTGCTGACACCTTGATTTTGGCTGCATGAAACTCAGAGCAGAAAATCAGCTGAGCTAAGCTGTGCCTGGATTTCTGGCCTATTAAACTCTTAGACAATAAACAGGTGATGTTTTTGAAGCTGCTGGAGTTGGTTATAATTTATTATGGCAGCAATAGAAACCAATACAGAGTGTATTGATCACAATGATAATTAATCAGTTATTTGGAGCCTGCCGCATTCACGGGGACACGTAACAAGACAAATAATAGAAAGCTCTAAGAAATGTCAAGACCATGAGATAGCCCCAAATCAAGGCTTTTCATCTTTGCGGATGATGGCGGCTGTTCCTTCTCTTAACTTATTGTCAGAAGATTTATTTGGAGTCTAATAGTTATAGGCTGGCAACACAAATCTACGTTCATATAGTGGGCAGAATTCTAAGATGGTCCAGAAGATCCCGATTCCCTGGTGCATATACCATGAACAATCCTTCCTCTTGAAGGATCTCAACATGGTGGGATAGCTGTTCTCATGGTTATGTTATATCATGTAAGATCCATCTTAGCAAACTGGAGTGGGATTTTCCTGTTGCCTTTGAAGAAGTAACTGCCATGTTTTGACAGAGCGACATGGCCAGGATCTGAAAAAGGCCTCTAAGAGCTGAGGGCAAACCCTGGCCTGTATCCAGGAAGACTAAACACTTTTGTTTTACAAATGCAAAGAAAAAATGATTTCAGCAACTTCAAGGAGCTTGAAAGAGGACCCTGAGCTTCATATGAGAACCTAGTCCTGGCTAACACCTTGAGTCGAGCCTCGTGAGATCCTGAGGAGAGGACTCAGGTA